AATAGAATAGAATAGAATAGAATAGAATAGAATAGAATAGAATAGAATAGAATAGAATAGAATTGAATTGAATTGAATTGAATTGAATTGAATTCTTTATTGGCCAAGTGTGATTGGACACACAAGGAATTTGTCTCCAGTACAGAAGCTCTCAGTGTAATTACAAACAACGAAGTACTATAATCATAAGATACCAATAAGAGAAGGTAATAGGAAAGATGAGAAGTATAATAGTAAAACAGCCCTACTATACGGGTAAATATCCTTAAGACAGCGCTGTGGGAGTTAGGTGTTTAGCAGAATGATGGCACGAGGGAAAAAACCTCTCCCTGTGTCTAGATGTTTTGGCATGCAATGCCCTATACCAGTGTCCCAAGGGGAGGAATTGAAACAGTTTATGTCCAGGATGTGAGGGGTCTGTAGATATTTTCTGACCTCTTTCTGATCCTTGCAGTATGCAGGTCTTCTATAGAACGCAGGCTGATTGCAATTGTTTTTTCTGCAGTCCCAACTATCCATTGAAGTCCGTACCTCTCCTGCTTGGTTGCTGTACCAAACAAGAGAGTTATAGAAGTACAGACCACAAACTCAATAATTCCTCCATAGAGGAGTCAACTACCACCAATAGCCTCCCACCAACCAGTACGCTCCCATAGGGGCTCCTCCGGGTGCCATCGGCCAAACAATGTCGACTGGCGGTCCCCAGGGGGAGAGCCTTCTCTGTGGGGGCACCTACTGTCTGGAACGAGCTCCCCCCGGAGATACGGAGGATCCCGGATCTTCGCACCTTCCGCCGTGCTCTTAAGACCTTTTTATTCCACCAGGCGGGCCTGGCCTAACTTTCTCCCTCTTTTTAAACAATTTTTAATATTCTTAATACTTTTAATATTCAAAGTTTAAATTTGTTTTAAATTGATTGGGGTTTTAATCTGTCTGGGCCAAACTATTTAATTCAATTTTATTTCTGCTTTTTAAATTTTGTATGTATGTATTTTATTGTTGGCTGTTCACCGCCCTGAGTCCTTCGGGAGTAGGGCGGTATACAAATCAAATAAAAGTAAAAGGAAAGGAAAGGAAAGGAAGGAAGAAGAAGTCAAAGAGGAGACAACAATGAAAATAACAATGATTGATGAATTAAACCGGGGGAAAATATATTAAAAGACTTGGAAGATACGTTTGAAAGGGAGATAGGGGCCTGGGCAGAAATTTTGGAAACTAGGCAGTGGAAGAGGGTAGAGGTGGGAGAAATACCTAGACTGAATAGCCAAGAAGCAGATGCAAACAGAGATAAAGATTCAAGAGAGGAATTTGGGAGGCAAGTCAAAAAAAGCATAGCGATTAAAGTATTGAAGCGGGCAAGAGACGATGGATAGACAATTCCTCTTTTTTTTTTTTTGTTCTGATTTGCTTTTCCTTTTCTCTCTCTTTCTTTTTTTTTAGGTAGGTGACATGACTAGAAGTTAGGTAGGCTAGAAAGAAAATGTTTTTTAGTAAAGGGTGACATGATTACAAGTCAGAATAAGTGATAGAAATAAGAGAAGGGGGAATATTAATTGTATACACCTTTATATAATAAAATAAAAGCAATAACAAGAGAAAACATGGAAGAATTGAATAATGACACATTGCAACTTAATATAATTGTGTATCATTTTTAGAAATATATGTTGATATGATTAATTTTACTAGTTTTATTTGTATTAGAATGTATGAGGCGCCACATTGTTCACACATTCATATGATATGTTTGTAAAAAATAAAAAAATAAAACACTTGGGGGAAAAATAATTCCTCCGTAGTAAACTCAAGATGTCCAGGTTGAGAGGAGAGGGGAGGGGACCCCGACAATGAATCTTCTGGTTGAGCTTGTGCTAAGAGGGATTCTTGTTCCACAAATCCGTAAATTTCTCTGGATTCTCATACCACGTCCAAAATCCAGTGTTTGGGTACAGGTGGACCAACTATGGACTTTGAAGTGGTCCTAGGATGAGACATCATCAGAGAATCCCAGGATTACAGGCTTAAACCAATAAGCGGAAGCAGATGGTCAGTGGCTTCCTGGTTATTACCAAACAGAACCTGCATGGACCTTCCATGAAATTGTCAGCTGAGCTGGATCTGAAGAAGACCTCTTCTGTGGAAGCCCATCTTATTTATCCTTCTGGTCATGTCCCCCCTTCCCCAATTAATCTGCTCTATCCTCCTTCTCCATAAATAACATATTAAAATGCTCTGGACTATAAGATGCACCTATCTTTTTTGGGGGAGGAAAACAAGAAAAAAAAAATCTGCCTCTGCCTCCCAGCAATTTTCCTCCTTGCAGCAAACAGCAAACAGCCTGCTTTAGTTTCATTTTCAGCACAGCCTAATTAGCACAAGGAAAAAAAAATCTGCCTCTGCCTCCCAGCAATTTGCCTCCTTGCAGCAAACAGTGGAGGCAAATTGGCAATGGCAATCCCTGCAGCCTGAAACAGCTGAGGGTCGGGAGGCCGATCCAACCGACAATCAGCTGCTTGTGCTAATCAGACTGTGCTGAAGCTGAAAGGGCCTGTTGGCTGCAAGGAGGTAAATTGCTGGAAGGCAGAGGCCAAAGGGTGGGGGCCGGCGGGTGGGCGGGACTACATTCGGTGTATAAGACACACCCAAATTTTCACCCTCTTTTGGGGGGCGGGGGAAGTGCATCTTATATTCCGAAAAATACGGTATATCTACAGCGATCGGAGTTTCATGCGTCTCGCTTGCCTTGGGCTTCTGCAGAAGCCACCAACCCCTTTAGTTACCTGGCATAAGAGCATCACTGCTTCTCTAAATTCAGCCTGGCAGATGGCACAGATGTCGCCCGCCTCGCTGCACTGCTGGTTGCTCGCACGGACCCCGTAGCTCTACGGAAGGGAAAAGTTCAGAGTTAAGAGGAGAAGTTGCAAAGAGGAAGGCGTGGAGATGGACACCAACATAGGTGCCTTGACAAGGGAAACTGCCTGATGGAGAGAAGCAAAGGCACGGGCTACGTGATCTTTGTAGAACAGGAATGGCAGGAATGGATCCCCCGTACTGGATCCCCAACACCCACTATGAGCACAGTAGTTAAATTTTGGAGACTCGTTTCCCACCAAACCTCAAATTTTACACAAGAAACAGAGGAAGGGAACACTGAAATATAGACTAGAGAGAAGAACAGAGTCGGAAGGGACCTTGGGAGGTCTTCTAGTCCAACCCCCTGCTTAGGCAGGAAACCCTACACCACTTCAGACAAAGGGTTATCCAGCCTCTTAAAAACTTCCAGTGTTGGAGCACCCACAATTTCTGAAGTTCCACTGTCCAATTGTTCTGACTGTCAGGAAATCCCAGGTTGCTTCTCTCCTTGATTAGTTTCTATCCATTTTTTTCTTGTCCTGCCTTCAGGGGCTTTGGAGAATAGTTTGGCTCCCTCTTCTTTGGGGCAGCCCCTGAGATATTGGAACACTGCTATCATGTCTCCCCTAGTCCTTCTTTTCATTAAATTAGACATACCCAGTTCCTGCAACCATGTTTTTCATATGCTTTAGCCTCCAGCCCCCCTAATCCTCTTGGTTGCTCTTCTCTTGCACTCTTTCCAGTCGAAACCAAGGGACGGTTGCTTCCCCCTGAAATATGTTTTGTTCACTCTCACATGCAAACAAAATAAGAGTTTGCGATAAGTCTGAAATCTGGATGCGCCGGCTAAGAATGTGGGCCAGCAAGCAGAAAGGGAACAACATTTTTAGAGGGAGACAGAGACAGGAGCAGTAGACAGGAGAAGAAGAAGGGAGATTGGAAGGCAGAAGCACTCTCTTGCTTCTCTCCTTCCCAAAAAATGAATTTTGAAGAGGTTTCCTTCATTTCAGGAAGGAGCAAAAAAAAAAGCCATAATATTAGCAGCCATTGGGAGCCGATGCCCTTGAAGGTAATCCGTCCCTCTTTCAAGTCTTCCAAAACAATTTGGAACGGCTGGCAGCGAATTCCACCTTCAGCTCTTCCTTACCGTCTGAGGTGAGTGCATTATCTCAAACTCCCCAAAGAAATGAGGAGGGGGGTGAGTTTTCCAAGCCAACCTCTCCATTAACACTACAACAACAACTTTCTGTACAGTTGCCAAAGAGGCAGAGTTACCTCAAGTTTAGAAAGGCGAAGCAGCTGCCTACTCACCTGAGGAGCACAGAGGACTCTGACTGCCCGGGTCACACTTCCCACACGGCCACAGATGTCAAAAGACTAGAATGGAAGAGGGAGAAGAAACTCGGTGAACGGGAGGTTGCAATGGGAGGAGAATAAACAGTATGGCAAAACATACCCATTGTTCTGACCTAGGCTTCCAGAATGGAAGGGAAGGGAAGGGAAGGGAAGGGGAGGGGAGGGGAGAGGAGAGGAGAGGAGAAGAGAGGAGAGGAGAGGAGAGGAGAGGAGAGGAGAGGAGAGGAGAGGAGAGGAGATTTTTTTATTGGCCAAGATTGGACACACAAGGAATTTGTCTTTGGTGAATATGCTCTCAGTGTACATAAAAGAAAAGATACTTTCATCAAGAATCATAATGTACAACATCCTCTTTTGGGGAGGAATGCGTCTTATACTCTGAAAAGTATGGTAGTTAAGGGTCAATGGAATTCAAGAGAAGTTGGACTGAGTTCACTTGTGGCTACATAGGGATTCTAGGCTAATCCCTCTCTTGATTCCACCTCCAGGTTCTATCCCTCCTTCTCCTACAGTGCCTGACTCAAAAAAACAAACAAACCCCTGAATCCGATCCACCAAGGAGCAAGATCTGGAATTGCTGAAAATGTCCCTAGCTCTTCTCGTTCTTTTTTTTTTTTTGCATTTCCAGTATAAGGCAATTATGCGGATTAAGGATTCATAGACGACTAACGAAACAGCCAAGAACTACGTGGCATCTTAAAAGACTTAACACATTTATGACTGTACAAGCTTTCGCAGATCCCAACCCACCAGCCAGCTGATCGCGGCGAGCATACTCATGTCAATTTCTTCCCGAGAATAAATTTTGGCAGTCTTTCAGGCACCACGAATCTCTTTGTGGGTGATTCAGGGTGGACTCAACAGAAGTTATACACAATGACATATTATTATTACTACCAATGTTTCTCTGTTTCGTGCCTAACGTTGGTACCACAACAGCCTAAATGTTGATTGTGGAGTGACTGCCAACAAATGATTTTCGCTAAAAATGAAGGGGGGAAAACAGTGCTTCCTTTTCCAAAACAGCTTGGCACAAAGAATGGATCACTTAATAGGATGGCCAGGGTTGTTATCACACCATTGCTAAGTGAAGGCTGCACTTCCAAGTCATCTTGATGCAAACCACATTCGACTCAATTCCGCTGGCTTCTTTAGGTGGGTCTGAGTAAAGCGAATATTTAAATGGCTTCCAAGTACAGATAAACAGAATTGCAGCATTCGAGAACTAGAAACGCTGATTCGTTGAACTTCAATGGAGTTTGAATTTGGGTCAGTTTATAATAATTATTTGCAATGTAATGGCTGTGAAAATTGGACTATAAGGAAGGCTAAGCGCCAAAGAATGGAGGCCTTTGAACTCTGGTGCTGGAGATTGGTGGACAATGAACAGTGGATGACAGGGGGAAAAGGGGGACAGAATAGAGTAGAGTAGGGTAGAATAGGGTAGAATAGGGTAGAGTAGGGTAGGGTAGGGTAGGGTAGGGTAGGGTAGAGTAGAGTAGAGTAGAGTAGAGTAGAGTAGAGTAGAGTAGAGTAGAGTAGAGTAGAGTAGGGAGGGTAGGGTAGAATAGGGTAGAGTAGGGTAGGGTAGGGTAGGGTAGAGTAGAGTAGAGTAGAGTAGAGTAGAATAGAGTAGAATAGAATAGAATAGAATAGAATAGAATAGAATAGAATAGAATAGAATAGAATAGAATAGAATAGAATAGAAATAAGGACCAGAGTAAAGTAGAGTAGAAAATGAATAAAATAGAACAGAACAGAACAGAACAGAACAGAATAGAATAGAATAACAGAGTCAGAAGGGATCTTGGAGGTCTTCTAGTCCAACCCTCTGCTTAGGCAGGAAACACTACACCCCTTCAGACAAATGGTTATCTAATCTTTTCTTAAAAACTTCCAGTGTTTTCAACTTCGGGAGGCAAGCTGTTCCACTGATTAATTGCTCTGTCGGGAAATTTCTCCGTAGTTCTAAGTTGCTTCTCTCCTTGATTAGTTTCCATCCGTTGCTTCTTGTCCTGCCTTCTGGTGCTTTGGAGAATAGCTTGACTCCCTCTTCTTTGTGGCAGCCCCTGAGGTATCAAAACACTGCTATCACTTCACCCCTGGTCCTTCTCTTCACTAGACTAGCCATGCCCAGCTCCAGCAACTGTTCTTCATATGTTTTAGCTTCCAGTCCCCTCATCATCTTTTGTTGCTCTTCTCTGCACTCTTTCTAGAGTCTCAACTTTTACCTAGGCTGCTTTTCGCGCAAAAACCTCAGAGCAGTCTTTGCTTCTTCTGCACCTACGTGGAATGATGAGCAAAGCTATATTCTTGGGGGGAAAAAAAAACGACATCCCAGGGATTTCTTTTGCTGCATATCGGGACAGTTGACAGCTGAATCTTCAGCAGCTGAAATATAAATGTTCGCGATCTCCACACTCTGTCATTACAATTCAGCCATTAATAACGAGAAGAATATAGAAGCTGGGTGGCCGGAAAGGATTTCCATCTGAATGACGGATGGGTGTGAAGGACCGAAAAGGGCAGAGGAGAAAAACTGAGCCGGATGTCAGCGGAATAGAGGCTGGGTTGGAGCAGGCGGTATATAAATCAAAGAACTGAGTAAAAAAAAAAAAAATCAAGTAGAAAACAGCAAGATTCACTCTTCTACCTTTACCCGATGTCTACAAGAATCAGCAGAACTAAGGATCTAGAAGCACAAAATAACATTTAACACAGCACGGTACTTAAACAAAATGAGTTGAGATCTGCATACGTGGGACTGATTGGGGTAGATTGTAAGGGTGACACCGAAATATATTGTATGTGGCATTTTAGATGGTGGTGGTGGTGGGGTGTTGATGGCTGGCTATTAAGCCGTCAGCTGTCCCTTTGCTTGTGTTGCCCAGCCCTCACCTTCTAAGTACTTCAGTCTGTCATCTGCACCTCTATAACTGTCTGGTTTGGTTCTGCAACCCAACAAGACAGACACAGACTTCAGAGGAGAATTAGAAGTGCAGAAAAAACAATGGCTGCCAACCTGCCTTCCATGGAGGACCTGTATACTGCATGAGTCAAAAAGAGGGCTGAGAAAATATCTACAGACCCCTCGCATCCTGGACATAAATTGTTTCAACTCCTACCCTCAAAACGACGCTATAGGGCACTGCACACCAGAACAACTAGACACAAGGACAGTTTTTTCCCAAACGCCATCACTCTGCTAAACAACTAATTCCCACAACACTGTCAAATTAAATATTAAGACTGTATTACTATTCTTCTTCTCATCCTTACTAGTACCTATCTCTTTCCACTTATGGCTATATCCACGTTGCTTGTATCTTTACAACTTATATTGTTTTTATTGTTTCCTAGTAATATTTTGATTGCTTACCCTGTTTCCCCGAAAATAAGCCCTCCCCGAAAATATTTAAACGCAGAGCTGGAAATCAGGTAAGACGGCAAGAGGAGCCCCATCTTGCTCCATGTGCCCCAAAATAATAAGACCTCCCCAAAAATAAGACCTCCCCGCTTATTTCAGGGTTCAAAAAAATATAAGACAGGGTCTTATTTTCAGGGAAACATGGTATTAGTATCCTATGACTATCACTAAGTGTTGTATCTTATGATTCTTGACAAATATGTTTTATTTTTTCTTTATGTACACTGAGAGCATATGCACCAAAGACAAATTGCTTGTGTGTCCAATCACACTTGGCCAATAAAGAATTCTTCTCTTCTCTTCTCTTCTCTTCTCTTCTCTTCTCTTCTCTTCTCTTCTCTTCTCTTCCTCTTCTCTTCTCTTCTCTTCTCTTCTCTTCTCTTCTCTTCTCCTCTCCTCTCCTCTCCTCTCCACTCCACTCCACTCCACTCCACTCCACTCCACTCCACTCCACTCCACTCCACTCCACTCCACTAGTGGTAAACTGGCATTCTTGTTGACTGATGAGGGACCCAGTTTCCCAGGCTTCAATCACTTCCCTGGCTGTTTTTGAGCCTGCTCGTCCAACAATCTTAACAGCTGCAAAATTGAATGTATGTCCTTGTTTCATGCCAATGGGAGGCTACCAATGAGTTTGGATTTCCTTGTCTGATCGCTCGGTTGTGTTCTTGCAATCTGGTGGTTAGCTTTCCCCCTCCCCCCCCCACCCTCCATAATCACAGGGATAATCCGCGGAGAGGATTCTGGAACTTTGTTTTTCCTTGAAGATGTTTCGTTTCGCATCCAAGTCGCTTCTTCATTTCTGACTGAAGGAGGTTAGGGTTAGTATAGAACTGAAGAAGCTTCTTAGATGAGAAGTGAAACGTCTTCAAGGAAAAAACTGGAAAAGTCCAGTTGCCTTTTGAAAAAGCACCTTTGGGACAAACAACACCTGGATGACTGAGAATTTCCCATAGACATTCAGAGTCACCACTTACTTTGCAGAGGCTGTACATGATGAGAAGGCTTCCCCCAAGGAAATAGCTGCTGGATGGATCATCCCCCATGATGTACTTATACCACAGCTGGATGGGGACCAGGGAACGGAACAATTGGCTTATTTCTTCAATGACCAGGTAGAACTTCCCCTACAAGAGAGAGAAGGAAAAAACAAGAGTTGGAGACAAGATATCAAATACAATTCTGCTCCTTTTTCCAAGAGAATACATCCCAATGAACATAAGTTAAAGGTTCCCCTCACACATGTGCTACTCATTCCCGACTCTAGGGGGCAGTGCTCATCTCCGTTTCAAAGCCGAAGAGCCAGCGTTGTCCGAAGACGTCTCCGTGGTCATGTGGCTGGCATGACTCAACACCAAAGGTGCACGGAACGCTGTTCCCTTCCCACCAAAGGGGGTCCCTGTTTTTCTACTTGCATTTTTTACCTGCTTCCGAACTGCTAGGTTGGCAGAAGCTGGGACAAGTAACAGGAGCTCACCCCGTTACGCGGCACTAGGGATTCGAACCGCTGAATTGCCAACCTTTCAATCGACAAGCTGAGCGTCTTAGCCACTGAACCACTGCATCTCCCCAATGAACATAGTGGGTCTTATTCTGAGGAGCCCTTAAATATCTCAGGAGCCTCACTTAATTCCACAATGATCAACCAGTAGATGCATCATCCAATTCATCATTCATAAGTCATCTTCCTCCAACAATATCAAGTTTCGAAGAGCTTGCAAAAACAACAAAACTATTCATCCAAATAGAAGACATGGTTTAAAAACTATATAGCCATATAGCCATAAGTGGGAAGAGATAGGTACTAGTAAGGATGAGAAGATTAATAGTAGTGCAGACTTAGTGAATAGTTTGACAGTGTTGAGGGAATTATTTGTCTAGCAGAGGGATGGCGTTCGGGAAAAAACTGTCCTTGTGTCTAGTTGTTCTGGTGTGCAGTGCTCTATAGCCTCGTTTTGAGGGTAGGAGTTGAAACAATTTATGTCCAGGATGCGAGGGGTCTGTAGATATTTTCTCAGCCCTCTTTTTGACTCGTGCAGTACACAGGTCCTCCATGGAAGGCAGGTTGGTAGCCATTGTTTTTTCTGCAGTTCTAATTATCCGTTGAAGTCTGTGTCTGTCTTGTTGGGTTGCCGAACCAAACCAGGCAGCTATATCTTATCTTATCTTTAATAAGTAACTTTAATGAGTTTAATAACACAACAAGAATGCCTGAAAGAGCTTCCATCCAGAAGCAGGTTGTGATGTTTTTTTAAGGGAAGCGTCTCCTCGTTTTGTTTCCCCCGCACGCAGGGCTCAAAAGGGACTCCCCCAAAACTCAAGATGCCACGAGGGGAAAGTCAGGACGCCGTAACTGTTCCAACACAGAGGCTGCTTGGATGAACTCAGCTCAGCTCTCCGGAGAGCTGCAAAGCAATTTTGATCGGTGTTTACCTTCTGCTCGGCTGCCCCTTTGGGAAAGGAAGGGCAGGTTGAAAATAAAGTCGTCATATCTTCCTTTCTGGGGAATTGCTGCCCTTTCCTTTGTCCCGCTTGGAGAAACTCTGCCTCCCCAGCCCTCTTTGGCTACCAGCAGAAGCAATGTCATGATACAAGTTGCAGCGCTTGACTTACGACTGTTCCGTTTAGTGACCGTTCAAAGTTACAACGGCACTGGGAAAAAAAGGGGGGGGGGCGGGCTGACAACTCAGTGCCTTCTGCCGTGCCTTTAAAACCTTCTTTTTCCAGCAAGCCAGGCTGGCCTAACACTTTTTAAAATGTTTTTAATTGTTTGTTATTGTTTTTAATCATGGGGCCAAATTTTTATATATATATATTTTTAATTGTATTTTAATGTTTGTAGTTTATGCTTTTACTTGGCTGTTCACCGCCTGAGTCTCAGGGAGAAGGGCGGTGTACAAATTTAAAAATAAATAAATAAACAAACTGATGACCGTTGTAAGCATCCTCATCGAAATTCAGACGCTTGGCGCTGACTTGCATTTATGACCGTCGCAGTATCCCGGGCGGTGTGTGTGTCATGTGATTCACTTTTGCGACCTTCTGACGAGCAAAGTCAACGGGGAGGGGGGGGAGCCAGATTCATTTAAAACCATGTTACTGCAGGGATTTACTTAATGACTGTGGCAGGAAAAACTGATGCTTAACAACAGCCGGTATATATATTTGTGTTTAAGGCTTTACAGAATACAGAATGGCTTAGAAGGGGCCTTGGAGGTCTTCTAGTCCAACACTCTGCTTGAGCAGGAGATCCTATCCCAGATTCCAGGCAAGGGGCTGTCCAATCTCTTTACGTTGAAACCTCCAGCGATGGAGCACTCACAACTTCTGGAGCGAGCTGTTTCACGGATTCGCTTTTCTCACTGTCAGGAAAATTTCTCCTTAATTCTAGGTTGGATCTTTCTTGGATAAACTACCACCCATTACTTCTTGCCCTTAGATACGTTGGAGAATAAGTTGATCCCCCCCCCGACCTCTTCTCCTTAAAAAAAACGAGGGTGTCTGATCATCTCGATATTCCCTCGGCCATCATAACCTTGCAGCTGCAGCCCCAGTTTGACCAAATGTCGGGAGCCTGGAGAAGAATGTTTGAAGCTGGAAAATGAGAGAGAAAGAGAGGGAGAGAGAAAGAGACAGAAAGAGGGAGGGAGAGGGGGAGATTGAGAGGGAAAGAGAGAGGGGGGAGAGAGAGAGGGGAGGGAGAGAAAGAGGAAGAGAGAGAGGAGAGAAAGAGAGAGGGAGGAGAGAGAGAGAAAGAGAGAGGGAGAGAGGAGAGAAAGAGAGAGGGGAGGAGAGAGAGGGAAGAGAGAGAGGGAGAAAGAGAGAGGGAGGGAGAGAGATGAAGAGAGAGAGGAAGAGGAGAAAAGAGAGGAGGGAGGAGAGAGAGAGAAGAGAGAGAGAGGGAGAGAGAGAGAGAGAAAGAGGGAGGGAGAGGGGGAGATTGAGAGGGAAAGAGAGAGGGGGAGAGAGGGAGGGAGAGAGAGAGGGAAGAGAGAGAGGGAGGAAAGAGAGAGGGAGGGAGAGAGATGAAGAGAGAGGAAGAGGGAGAAAAAGAGAGAGGGAGGAGAGAGAGAGAAAGAGAGAGAGAGGGAGAGAGAGAGAGAGAAAGAGGGAGGGAGAGTGGGGGAGATTGAGAGGAAAGAGAGAGGGGGGAGAGAGGGAGGGAGAGAGGGGAAGAGGGAGAAAAAGAGAGAGGGAGGAGAGAGAGAGAAAGAGAGAGGGAGAGAGGGGGAGAGAGAGAGGGAGAAAGAGAGAGGGAGGGGGAGAGAGAGATGAAGAGAGAGGGAAGAGGGAGAAAAGAGAGAGGGAGGAGAGAGAGAGAAAGAGGAGAGAGGGAGAGGGGATGAGAGAGAGAAGAGCGAAAGAGGGGAGGGAGAGGGGGAGATTGAGAGGGAAGAGAGAGGAGAGGAGAGAGGGAGGGAGGGAGAGAGGAAGAGGGAGAAAAAGAGAGAGGGTAGGAGAGAGAGAAAGAGAGAGGGGAGAGAGGAAGAGGGAGAAAAAGAGAGGGGAGGAGAGGACAGAAAGAAGGAGGGAGACAGAGAAAGAGAGAGACAGGGAGAGAGAGAGAGAAAGAGAGAGGTGGGAGGAGAAAGAGAGAGGAAGAGAGAGAAAGAGAGGGGAGAGAAAGAGGGAGAGAGAGAGAAAGAAAGAGAGGGGGATAGAGAGAAAGAGGAGAGCGGGAGGAGGAGAGGAGAGAGAGAGAGAGAAAGAGAGAGAGGAGAGATAGAAGAGAGAGAGAGAGGGCGAGAGAAAGAAAGAGAAGGGGGGATAGAGAGAAAGAGAGAGAGGGAGAGAGAAAAAGAGAGAGAGAGAGAGACCCTTAGGGGCCAGGAGAAGAGCAGGCAACGGTCCCTGCCAGTTTCTCCTGTTTTCTCCCCCCACCTCCCCGCCCAGATGAGATCACTCGGAGGCTGTTCTTGCCCGCTGAAGCCCGGAGAGAACTTCGGCATTCTCATGATCTCATATCCTGAGGGACGCGGAGTGAAGTCACGCCAGCATGCCTGCTCCAAAGCCAAGCTGCCTCGCCAGACCTCGGGGGACATCGCGCCACATATCTGCAGTGGCAACCGGGAGGAGTCCCAGGGGCCGGCCACTTAACAGATTAACACGGGGTGGGGAGGGGAGGGGAAGGGGTGTTTGGAGCAACCTCGAAGTTAAAGGCGGACGGGGTGAGGTTTTTATTTTCCCTCTCCCCGCTGCCCTCCGCCGTCTTCCCTGGGAACTGAAAGATACCCCCCAGCTAGTCAGGGTTTTGCAGATTGGAGGGAGGGGGGGTGTGTTATTTTTCCAATGACAGGTTACAAAATCTCTCTTGAGCCTGACTAGGTGGCTCAGTGGCTAAGACACTGAGCTTGTTGATCAGAAAGGTCGGCAGTTTGGCGGTTCGAATCCCTAGTACAGGTCTCCTGCGTTGAGCAGGGGGTTGGGCTAGATGACCTCCAAGGTCCCTCCCGACCCTTGTTACTGTTAAGATTGGTTACAAACAAAGCAGGGTAAACCCGGAGGGCAAACAGACCCTCCATATGGGGTCAGGCCAAGGATGGCAGAGTGCCACCAGTCCCATTGCAACGCAAGGGTGCCGACGGATGTTGTTTATAGATTCTCAGAAGTTTCCTTCCCTGGCCAATTAAAAGAAAAAGAAAAAGAAAAAAGGCTTCCGTTTTTCCGCTTTAATTCCAGGCAGCTTGAGAATTCCTTTTGAATTCCTCTCGACTGTATTTCTCAGCTGACTCCCTCAAAGCAACCGAGGAAGGGCTTTTCCCGGTGAAGGGGTTTCTGCAATACCTTTTTCCCACTTTGGAAACTGCCTCCCTGGGGAGCAGTGACCCTTTCTCATCTACAAATTCTCGTGGTCCTTGGTGCTCTCTTGAGCTTGGCGGTTTTGCTGCAGACGTTTCATTACCCAACTAGGTAACATCATCAGTGCTAGAAAGAAGTGGGGTTTGTGGAGAGGAGGAGGAGGAGGACTTGGAGGGAAAGGAGAGGGGGAAAGGAGGACTGGGGGGGTGTATCCTTGGTGCTCTCTTAATTTGGTAGTTTTCCTGCAGATGTTTCCCAGCTTTCATACCTAAGGCAGGACTAGAACTCACCATCTCCCAGTTCCTAGGCTGGTTTTCATTGTTAATGT